TATCATAGTTCCAATTTATTTCTAGCTAACTCTAAATTCACTTCTAGTTTACATAACACTTCACTACTCTACACTCCCTTCCCCTCCACTACATTACACTTCACTTCACTTCACTGTATAAGGGACATGACGATAATAATTATTACAATAAAAATATAAGACATAATAGTAACAACTTAAAAATTTCCCCAAAGCTAATAACAGTGTAACAATGATGATAAATTTGTCCCTAATATAATAATAATAATAATAATAATAATAATAATAATAATAATAATAATAATAAAGATAAATATCTCAGGAAAATTCCACCGAAAAAACTCGGGTAAATATATATATAATATAATATATATATTAATATATATATATATATATGAGAGAGCGAGAGCAGAGAGATGAGAGGAGAGAGGGAAGTGAATAGATGTAATAAAATTATTAAAGTTCGCCCTTTGAGCTAATGCTCGGTGCGCAAACCCATAAAACAATTAGAATTAGAATTACAAAACAATGTTAACATTACAATTAGATTACTATTAAATAGGGTCATATCAAGTTCCAATTATTTCTAGCTAAACTGTCTAAATTCACTTCTAGTTTTACATAACACTTCACTACTCTACACTCCTTCCCCTCCATAATTACATTCACTTCACCTTCACTGTATAAGGGACATGAGATAATAATATTACATAAAATAAAGACATAATAGTAACACACTTAAAAATTCCCTCAAAGCTAATTAAAGTGTACAATGATGAATAAATTTGTCCCTAATATAAATATAATAATAGATAAAATAATAATATATAATAATAATAAATAAAGAAAATATCTCAGTCAGTCATATTTGAGATATCTAGATGGAATGAAAGGCCATATTTTTAAATTGGCTAATTAGAAGGAAAAGCCTCTAGTGCTTCTGCAGTAGTTTGTTCCATCTACTATAGTGCGATTCACAAAGGAGAACTGCCTAATCAGTTCTTTGCTTTTCACATCGTAATTTCCACCAGGATGGTTCTTGCTTTTTATAATTGATTTCTGTACATCTTTTACGATATCTGCCATGCTGTGTCCCTCTGTAATGTCTATCACATTATTGCATAAACGCACCCGTTCCTCTCTTAGATAAGGACTCGCCATTCTTCTCGTTCGTCCAACGCACCAGTGATTACAAACTTTGAGCGCGCGTTTTTGAAATTTTATCTAACGCTTCGATTGCCCTTTTTTGTACGGGTCCCAGCAGCCGCTCCGATATTAATTGAACGAACACGTGTAGTATATTGCTAGGGATCGGCATCTTGGACTAACTATTTTTTAGAATACGCATACAAAGTGCAGCGCTTCTCCAGGACTTCTTAACCGTTAATTGTTAAATTGATCGACAACCTAAGTCGCTATCGCAGGACCAAGGCAATTAAATTACCAAGCAAGGCATTAAAACCAAAATACTACAGTTTTTTACATGATGGTTGTTCCTA